GTAGTGGAAGCTGGCGAAGTAGTGGATGTATGCGAAGTAGTGGAAGTTCGCGAAGTGGTAGAAATTGGAAAAGTAATGGAAGGTCGCGAAGTGGTAGATGTTGGCGAGGGAGGAGATGAGCTCGTCGTTGACATTACTTTAGTGGAAGTGGTAGCTACAACTATGTCGCGAGCGAGAGGTAGTGCTAGCACATCGTTCTTCGATATAAGCAAGAGGGCTAGCAGGAACGAGCTAGAGATAGTCCGATGCATGATGCCGGCCAAAGCGCAAAGGCAGCTAGCTACAGGTCGTTAATGGAGCAAATACTGCGTAAACTAGCAAAAGGCCGCAAGCGCCCACTCTCGTCGTAGGAAGGAGTATTACCTTGTATACATAACATTAAAATAACGAGACCGGACTTCAAGGTAGAAGGCATTCGAGCTTTCTACGATGGAGAAGAAAGAGCAGCGGCGAGGGCTGGAGGGGGCTATGTGTGGTTATGGGGCGTGTGGATCCGTTTTGGCATTCCATTGTTCTAGGTTAAGGGGCTGGCAATCTATCAACTTTAGCACAGCTAACTTTGCTACCAAGGCGGCTCTGCGCTACACAGGCGAGGTCGAGGCAATTTCATACGTACTCATGTAACGTAATCCACAACTGAGTCGATCACCCAAGTGGGTCGATCACAGTGATCTGCAGAGGGTGGAATTAGCGCCCGCTCCTCTGAACTGGACCAGATCCACATTCTCGGTGTCTCTAGTACGGCGTAACGTTCGGAATGATTCATTCCTACTTACCTCTCTGAATGCATGATAGTGTATCATTATCACAGCATGGGTCTGAATGATTTGAAGCACACGGCACTATTTTACTGCAACATATTCGTCTTCCATAGTTTATACTAGAGCCGAAGGCAGCTGCCTATCCTATATGCGTTCCCCGCCTTAGATCTCCCCCGCCCTAGATCTCCCCCGCCCCTGCTTAGGGCGTGCCTGGACAGAGGTAATCGAAGACATCAAAGTCTAGGCCCTTGCATATTAGAATCTAGAATGAATATTACTGTTTTCATATGTCTCTGGATCCCTGCATACACAGTATCGTACGTTTCTGAATCACTGCATACACAGTATCATACGATCCCTCATGTGAGAGACTCCGCCAGACTTGCAGGACAGCTCGGCCGTTTGCCAACACGCGGCTTACCGGGGAATGGGAATGCCTTACAATGTGTAGAGAGACTATCGCTACATTCCAAAGATCGTTTAGGGTCATAGCGTTAGACGGCATATGGCACTCAAAGCTCTTTAGGCATCTAACACACCTGCGAAGTTATCAGGCGCTACGGGAGAATGGGATATGACAACTTATAAATTCACATCGCCCCTTGATGAAAGCATTAGGCCAAGAAGCATAAGGAACTTCCATCACCCTCCTCATTCTCCAACTACCAGCACACTCTGCATTCTTGTTTGCAGATTTCAGAATCAAGCAACATGATGGTCTCTCAGACAACCGCCGGCCTGACAGCTGCCGCCTTGGTTGCTCTCTCTCCGGGAGCGCTTGCATTCATAACTCCCTGCGTCTACCAGGAATACGCGTGTGGGCATGACATGATCAGTAATTTTGGTACTTCACTCTTGTCATTTTATAAATAATAGGTCTACTGACGCCACTCCTCGAGGCTATAACAACACCGAATTGGCGTCAGCGGTAAACAAGACCTCAACCATGCCGCCTCTCACCTCGGTCCAGCTCCTCCACGCCATCTACCGTTGTGTGGACATCAATGGCACGATCGTTGGAAATTCTTTCTGTATGGGAGGCTGTATTCCCATGGGCTCTACCACCACGAATGATCAGTGTGCCATGTAATAGGTGCAATGTCAGCAGCAGGACGTTCTCCACTATTCCTTCCAAATGGTCGTCGCTGCCTGGCTCAACTGCAACGCAGCATTCCCAACCAGGAAAAAAAATTGGAATAGGGATTATTGGACAATGAACAGTTCGGCTCAACTATTATGCAACATTTTACTTTCTCAGACAGGCAACTGCATGACAGCCGTGTAGCACAGATTTTCTACAATTTATCGATCACTTTGATCTTACAGTCATTCTTCTCGATATCCAGTGTGTTTGATTGCAAGTGAACCGTTTGCAGCTAAATGGTCGATGGGGCTCAGGGGGCGTGATGGTGGTAGTGTATGGAGGTCGATTGTTGCAAACCCACTTAGCGTACTTTTTAGGGCTGTATCGATTGAAAATGCCCCCACAGTACCTCCGATACATCAGGCAATGTACCCTTTGGTCTCATCACTGACGACAAGCAAGCCTATTCCGGCAAGAGTGAACTCAGATATCGCCTTGAAGATTATTTTCACTATCCCAGCCTCACCGTTCTTTGCTTGCTCTAACCATTGTCTCGACCGGAGATCGAGACAGATAGGGTACGCTGCGCCATACTGCTCTTCAGCTCTTGACAATGCTAATGGTGCCCTTCCGTTGTTGACAGCAAAGATGGCAAAAGCAATAACGCAGACTTCAAGATGGTGGCGCGGCAGGCCCGAGACAGCCATTTCAGCGGACGCCTCCCGCAGTTCTAGATTGGATATATAGTACCGTCGCTTGCTGGCTGCAAGAGGGCAGTCAAAGAAATCCGTTACCATTAGCTCATCAATCTCGAGGCTCGGAGCCGCGTGGCAGGCTACCGTCGCTGTGGTCCCCACCGTGCCAAGTTTGTCGCCCAAAGTGTGTGGAAACTGAAGGAGGCCTACGAATCCCTCGGCTGCGGTATGATTATGCGTGTTGGCCTGTTCCGCGACGTGGTCGAACATCTCCTTGATGGCTTGCCTAGCGACACTCAGGTGGGCGCCGTTTGGATGACAGAGGATATAGGAGTCGAAGAAGAGCGAGACGAAAAGGCTGTCCGCAAAGTTTGCAAAGAGAGGGGTGTAGAATTCCAGCTTTGGAAGGACGAGAAGTACTACATTGACGAGTGAGTGACATCGACTGTCCCGGGATTGTCGCTGCCACATCCTAAGAATGCCTACACAG